CACCAGAAAAAAAAAAAAGAAAAAAAAAAAATTTTAAAACCGGGAGACAACAAGAACAGGGACAAAAACAACACACAGAACACAAAACCCCTCACAAAACAAAAAATTATTATAATAACATTTCTAAATTTGGGCTTTTGTGTTAAGCGGGACGATAAAAAGTCAAAAAGGGGAAGGATAGATTTGTTTCACTCTTTAGTTCAAACCCATCCCCTCCGGGCAAAAAAACCTGGGCCAATGGAGCCCCCCCCTTTCCCCCCCCCCCCCCCCCCCCCCAACTCTGTCTCTCTCTTTCCATTAAAGCTCCGTTTTAAGGGTATAATACTATTACAAACTGCGTAAGGCTACACGGAAAAAAAGAGAAGTCAAAACAACGATTTTAAACCCGGGAGCTCAGAGGACAGAGGGCCAAGTACTGACCAACTGAGCCAATCCTTCCTAAAATACATTATTTATTTACATTCTCCCTGCCTGTTTATCTATTTTGGTAGCAAGGGGCGTAGCCAGCCCATAGACCTGTAGGCCCGGGCCTACAAATGTTTGGTTTGATCACTTTAACCACTTGTAATAAATTATGTATTGTTGGGGTGAGGCCATTTCCGAGTTACCCCACGCCTCTGTTCCAAAGCAAGGGTAAGTGCAAAGCCATTCATATGAAATTTTTTTTTTATTTTCATGCAAATTAATTTTTTTTTCACAAGAAAGGTTTTGCTCTTGGCATCGTTTTGAAAGGGAGAGTATTTGAAACTTGGAAATGGCCTGTTGGCTGCAAAGTGTTTCTTCACCCCCCAATAATACTGCACTCGTTTCCTTGTTTCTTTGTTTCCCTTGTTTCCTTCCTTGTTTGACACCTCCAGCAAAAGTTTCTGCGCTTATGAGAATCCAAACTTTAGTTTCTAAGCTTTGATTTTGTCCCAGATAATACTTTTAGCTTTGATTTGCCATTCTCTATAATTTGTATTAAATGTTGATGACCTCATTAAACATCCAACACAGCCTCTCTAAACACTGCCTCTTGCAGCCAATTCTGCCTAAAAGCTGTTTCAGGGTGCAGATGTGAAGGGTCAAAGTTTCCTTTTGTACTCATTTAATCAAAAGATAAAGATTCTTCCACTAGACAACTCTATTACAATTTTGAAAAAAGAAATATGAAACAAGGTTAGCTTGCAGTTACCTTGAACTTTCTCAACAACATTGTCCTTCATGGGTGGTGTACCCAGAACTTGATAAATAGGATGAACTTCAATGGGAAACAAGTACTTCTGTATCTGAGATATCCTGTGCCTGCGAACTTCACACAGTTTCTCCATTACTGCCTCAAGATCTTTTTTGCTTTTTTCAACTGCTGCCTAAAACAAAGAGATGGCAAAGCCAGACTCTTGATCCTTCATTACAAGATGGGGGCAAGGGGAAAGGGGAAGTTGGGGGCACTACGTCCTGGCCTGTCTTCATTGTTTCTTTTTTTCTGCTTTGTTTCAAAAGGTTGAGAGTTTTGTGTGTCACTATCATTTAACCCAAAGAGTGATGTCCAGAGTTATTTTTAAAAGGTAAAGTGCTTTGTTCTGTTGTGTTGTTGTAGAAAATTTACATACTCCCCACAGAGGGTTTTTTGGTTTGAACCTTCCCACCCTTCTGGGAGTTTCAATTTAGTTCCATACTCTTCTTTGGGCCTATCTGTACTAGAAGACAAATTGGAATTGTCTTTGAAATATCTGAACCAAAAAATGTATGGTGAGAATTTTTGTTTTGAAAAAATTATCTGCAGTGAAAACTTTTCACTCTTAACAGGCTGTCATTACTTAATGGAAACAAAAAGGGTTTTACAACAGAAAAAAAAATGATTGACAGGGAAGACACATTTTCATTTATTCAGTCCAGTTTTAACCTGGGACAAATTTTGTCTATGGAGCCTTTGATGATTGTCTCCTCTGGGACAAAATTTGTAAAATCATGACAAACCATCTACATTTGTTAAGTTTTGGTGATGACAGAAATCTGTCTAAATAAACAGCTCTTTTGCTAGTGCTGATAGGCCCTTTAAGCATTTTGCATTTAACACCCCTAGCTGTTCCCCTAGGAATACCCAAGGTGGGCACAGTCTGGGCAGATATTTTCTGGAACCACACATCGGAAAAAAGTCAAGTTGGCATCATTTGCAAAAAAACTGTGGCGAAATTAATGTATAAAAGTAATGTATGCTCTCAGTTGTCATCAGTGATAACCTATGTGGTTTTTTCCCTCAGATTACCTGACATTGCAACAGCTGCTTTGCCTTCACTTGAACACTGTTAGAGAGGTCTGTCTGCTTTGATTTTACTGACTGATTACATCTCTGAAGCTCATCTACAGCATTTTTTTCTGTTCATAAAAACAATGTCATCATTAATTTAAGGTAACACAACTTGCACTATGCAGTTTCCTTTTTAAAATGAACCAAAAATGAGGCCCCTCTTCCACGGCAAAAAGTCTATTTTTCCGTCTGTTTAAACTGAAGAGTTGAGAGTGACATTACACTATTCAGTAGTTTCTTGGTATTAGAGACGTGTGTGACCATCAGATGACCTAAATATAGAAAAGATTAAAAAGACACTAAACAATACCCACACCACACATACAGTCGAAACAACAAAAGTTTCCGCAAAAACAAGAAACACCCCATTGTTAGCTAAAGGTAAAAAAGAGAGTCAATATGTCTTTATGACATAACCATTTGACATACAAAAAAAACATTGAAGCTTTGATCTGTAATATTGACCCTACAACACCCCTAACCCATGGTAACAAGAAGGCACACTTCAAGACAATGTGGCCCATATGGCTTAAGCTTATTTCGGTTTCTGTAACAGAAGGAACCTAGGATAGTTTTTTCCTTCCCAGAACAGCATGCTACTTCATTCTAGGTTTACCATGCCACTAGCACCCATTTATATACTTTGGTGAGGAGAGACAAAGTGGAGCAAAGTTCCCTGTGTAGGAAACAACCCAATGACAAGGTTTGATGGGACTGACCCCACGGGTCCTGAGACCGACTTGTTAACCTACTGGCCGCCATGCCTCTACATATCGTGGTGGGTGTTAACGTTGTGTAATATCCTTATTAACACCTGAGGTCCTAATGTAGTTTCCTGTTACAGTGGAGTTACTAGTCTCGTACAAGCTCAAGGGAACAACAGGTACATGTATTACCAGACTTGAGATTTTGAACTGCTTCTTCTACAACCAATCGCAGAAGCAAAACTTTCTGTCTCCTGGATATGATCTCGCAATTCTAGGTGAAAAAAAAAACAAAAAAAATTTAAAAATTACAGTGAAGGATAGGTCTTTATCAAATCACATCAGCTATTCTACAGTTGGCAGAAAGTAACTGAATATCTCCAGTTTCCGAACAGGAAAATAGAGCATAATAGGTTTTAAAAAATTGTTGGCAAGCATTACATTATTCACCAGACCCCAGTTGTTGAAAAGGTGGATAGCGTTATCCACCGGATAAATCTCTATCCAGTGGATAGTGCAATTGGTTTCCCTAATAGTTATCCACTGGATAGTGATCTATCCCGTGGATAGCGCTATCCAGCTTTTGATCAACTGGGACCAGGGCCCAGTTGTTCGAAGGCCGATTAGCGCTTAACCCGGGGTTAAATTTAACCCAGGTTTCTTTTTCTTGTGTTCAAAAGCATTTTCTCGGATAATTTTCTGTGCTATTTTTAGAGCTTCCAATCATCAATTTGTAGACAAAAAGAATTAAAACTGAAATGCTTTCTAAGCTTTTATATCTGAATTCAAATATCGCACTAACCCTGGGTTATCTTAACCCAGCTTTGAACAACTCGGCCCAGGATTTTAAGTTATCAAGGATAAGGTCTATGAGCCAAGTATAGACAACTACACTTAAAGCAGTTTAAAAAAATAATGAGAACTTTTCACATGTTTTGAATCAGGTTTCCAGGAGACAATGAAGTCTGTGGATTTTATGTATCCTGAAAACAATAATCACACTGACCAGAGAGATTTATCAGGATTATAAAATATACCAAAAGAAGCAAAAGGAGCAAAACTTTAATTAAGCCAGATTTCTTTGCAATGCCCAGATGCATAAGGAAAATGACAGGTAAGGAGTGAGATGGTGAGTGACAGCTGGCAATCATTAATTTTTAAATACTAGTAATTAACATTAAGGGTGAGTAATTAATTTTTCAGAAAAAAGCCAAACAAATGTGACAAAAGTATTCAAAAAAAAAATGCATAGACAAACCAATTTCTCTGCTTCTTCTGTCTGCTTCAAAATATTTAAAGCCCTGTAAGTATAAATGAACATGTTTGTATATTTTCCATAAAAAAGAACTTAAAAATAGAATGAGTCAACTAAATCACAAAGAATGCATTGAAGTAATATTTTTTGCGAATCTTACACCTTGAAAGTCACTGATGATTAGAAAATTGAACTTCACCTACCGTTTTTCATATTCTTTCTTCAATCTTTTTAAAATCTCTAACTTCCTTAACGTTTCGTTATATCTGTTTAACAGGAAAATGGCTAAAATTCAGATATATCAAAAATAAACGTCGGATTTTTTTAGAAGTAACGAGAGCTTTATGTACCTTAGGTACACATATTTCAGTTTACAAATACTGGATTGTCTAGATATGGAAAAATCTGTAACAAATCCGCGTACCTTTCGCTGTATTTTCCTCCGGAATGACTAAAGTTTCCACTTTTAACGCAATTTTCGCAACTAAAACTCTTTCTCTTGCTGTTGCAAAGAGGACAGACCAGTTGTGAAGTACAAATCGTGGGTAATTTTAACTCGTTCTCGTTTTCAAAATATTCAGCCATTTTGTGTTGTACATTTTGCTGAGTTTTGGTTTTGATGATAAACTGCTGATCAGATAACAGCATGTTCATAAAACAGCGCCTTTGATCAGCGGATATACCTGCAAGAGATACCTTGTGCTTAGACTACTTGACGTACAAGCGGAATAGTGAAGATAAACGAGACGCCATGTTTCAAAAGATTCGGGAATGGATTTCTCTGAAAAACTACCAGTACCAGGTCACAACGGGAATCTACATGCTTGAGCCTTGGGAAAGAACAATATTCAGTATCCTTTTAGGTGAATTTTATGAGAAATGCACTTAGATTTGGCATTATAAACACATAAAAGTATGCCTTAGGGGAGGCTGTTGCAACCTGCGCAAACATATAAGCCGACTCTGCCGAAAAATCCCGGAGACCGCCAGATTGAGGGCGAAAGGATAAGGGGGGCGTCTAAGCCTTTCTGAAATTTAGCTCCTAAAATATGAAAAAAGTGCAAATGTTGATGTAGTATTTTAAAAAGTATTTTCCGGTAAGTTGCTTAAATTGCTAAATCAACTGCGACGATCATGTCTTCATTTAAAATATTGTATATTTCCTTGGTCACATCTTTTTCATTTCATTTTCCATTCCTTTCACTGGTAAACAGGGACTCAACAAATTGGCCTGCTTCTAATGTCCGGGCCTTCATGGTAGAGGACGGCAGCTCTACTTTTATTAAAATGTAAACACCATGGGTGCAAATTCTAAAATTCCTTTTGGGTTACTTTGTTATTGCTTAAAATGCTAATCAATGCGACGATCATGTCTTCATTGAAAAATTTGTATCCTAATTTCTGTTCAACCACAGCAAAAATAATTTGGAGACTTGGTTGCTTTGTACTATACAGGCCATTTCTGAGTTCTAAAAACTCTCAATTACAAAATGAGTGAAAATGAGTTGTATTTGGATGACATTGAAAAAATCAGTTTCATGTCAATGGCTTTGCACTTAGCCTTGCATTGAAACAGAGGCTTGGAGCAACTCTGAAATGGCCTAGGGAGGTTGGGGTAGGTTGGCAATGGTAGAGGGGTGGATAGTGCAAAAGTCTCCATTTTCAGAACTCTGGAAGTTGGCATCACTGTGATTATCTAACAAGAAAATAATGTTTGTCTCACAAACACAAAACACAAAATATTTATCAGTTAAAATTATAGACTACGAGTAGTCCGCCATTTTTCCTCAGGGATAGTAGAGCGTGCGAAACGCGAGCACGCGTGAAAATCACCCCACGCAAGAAAAGGCAACACGCGGCGGGGAGAGAGAAAAATGAGGGACTACAGACAAAGCCCAAGCTTTTGACCCTTCACGGCCGACTGATTTTGGAGTGTGAAGTTCGTATCTTCTTCCAAATCAATTAAGCACACCCAATGGGATTCCTTCCCTTATTGAGCTGTCATTGCTCTTGACATCGGTAAACTGCAGGGGATATTTATTGCAAGCAAAAGAAAACCCAGATACTAATTTTCTTCACGGCTGTTTGGCATGAAGAACTTGATAGTGTAGGCAACACACGACTTTTACTCATGCCAAAATGCTGCTTGTTCCAATGAATTTTTTTCTCTGACGGGTAGATTATGCTCTGGAGGACAACGTTTTGACTAGGCAAATGTGATTTTTGCCGCTTATTTCATACTGAGAGGTCGTGACACGCATATTAATTTTCTGCGGTTATTGTTTATGGTCGGCATGATTTGCCCTCTGATGCAAGAGCATTTTCTTTGACCTATTTTGAAAAGTAAAGCTCTTCAATGCTGCTTAATAAGGGTTTTGGGTTGTTTGATTTCTCCGGCGATTGCCTCCTGGATCTGAATAATTTTAAGCCATTTTCGTTTTGGCTGTGAATGTGACGGTTTCCTGCAATGTTTTGTCACGCTGGGCCCAGCTCGTTAGGATATCCAAATCGCGAAGAATGGATTGCAGCTTAAACTAGAACTACGTTAACTATGGAGAATTGCGATGTGACTCAGTCATGACTGCTCATGAATTTTAACTGCCGCTTGCTTTTCTGGAGATAATGTGAGTCTTTGGACTGGAGCACGTAAACAAAACTTTTGAATTAACTTAACAGCCTTGTGACTATTCTGTTATTCTCACTTTCTGATCAAGCAAGACCGTGGTTTCGGTTCTCCACGCGAACCTTATCAGTTGCCGGGTTGGCTTTGTGCTTAGTTGCTTCTACAAGAGCAACTCTAGTTATTTGTTCTTTGCTGTTATTTGTTCTACTCTAGTTATTTGTTCTGTAAATTGTGATTATGTTGAGTGTTGATAGCGACTGGCGCGTTTTTGACAGATGTTGACAGATTTCCATGGAAGAGCCAATCAGAGTTTTGCGTTGTGAGAGCAACGCATTAGTTCAAAAGCTTGGGCTTAGTCTGTAGTCCCTCATTTTTCTCTCTCCCCGCCGCGTGTCGCCTTTTCTCGCGTGGGGTGATTTTCACGCGCGCTCGCGTTTCGCTCGGTCTACTATCCCTGAGGAAAAATGGGGAACTACTCGTAGTCTATTAAAATTAATGTCAAATTTGAATGTAGTCTGCTTCTTATAGAAAGTAAAGCTTCTCCAACAGAAATGTTGCTGATGTTTTAGCAAATTATTTTGTGCTCCTTAACATGCCTGTCACAGATGCAACATTGGTGACAATTCTTGGGATGTCTGTTTACTCAACATATGCTTATTTGCCAGCATATATTCACAATGTCCTCGTCTACCTTGGTTACACTGCAGGATAGTCACCTGGATATCACCATGGTAACAGATGTTTGCTTACAAGTCATTGTTTACAATTCATTGCGACAGCTTAAAATCTTACAAACCGCCATCAAGACATTGTCTCTGTACCAGACGAGAATCACTTGCAATGCCAAGCAGAACTAAAACAGGATGGTGGAACTGTTAATAGTTTAATCACAAAACATTTAGTATGAAATACAAATTCCTAATCTGCTTCTAGTAGTGTACTATTTATGCTACATAATCCAATTATTGCATAGATAACCCATAGATATATATAGTTAGCAAAAACTACAGAACATACAACCAATAATAACACCTTGTCATAGTTTATATGGAATGCTTCCTTTTTTATATGCAGATACATGTAAACTCAAGCTAGAATCAATTTTTCAATATTTAGCCTACGTGTAGCCGCACCCTCCCCCCGACAGGCTATTCAGTACTGTCTACCTCACTGACAGAAAATTGTTTGGCAACTAGGTAGGTGATGAGTTGTGCTATAATTAGGTTTATATTTTGAAATTTGAATCATAAAAGTCACAATCATATGCTTCAGGGTAGTAAAGAGTTATTGCCAAGATCAGTAAGGCAAAAGACTACAAGTTTGCCCCCTACTTTCTGTCTTACCGTGTAGGGTATATCTCCAAATTCTCTACATCCTAGTTAAATAACAAATTTAGACATTCATCTAAAACATTCTTGGGAGTTGGCTTGGGATATTGAAGGAAATTTATGTAAGACGGCATTATGGTACATTATGGTAGGCCGGCGGTAATTTTATTGTTATTTTTATCATAAGGGGCAAAATAAGCAAACTTTTTAGCTTAACCAAAACACTAGGGAAGGGAGGGAGGGAGGCACACATCTTCCCTTCCCCTCCTCCCCTGACCGATTAATTTTTACTGTATTATCTCTTTGGAAGTTGTGGCATTGTAACAGGTAGCAATGTTGAGGTCTTTCAAGGAGTAGAAGCGACAGGAGGTACCGTAAAATTCCGAAAATAAGCCCCGTGGCTTATATTTTTCAAAGGCCCTTTTTGAGGGGCTTATTTTTGGAAGGACTTATGTTCGGAGAGGCTTATCTACGGAGGGAAATTTGCGTTTCAAAATCGATTGGGCTAGCCTTATAGTTGGAAGTAAATTTACCGTTTTTGCTTTGTTTTACTTTGTATCTGAGGGCAATTTTCCAAGTACAAGTCCCCGGGGGCTTATATTTGGAGGGGCAATTTAACGGAGGGTTTTTTGCGTTGCCGTTGTGGGGGGCTTATATTTGTAGGGGCTTATACATCGAGGAGCTTATTTTCGGAATTTATGGTATGGCCCCGAAAAATGGGGACAGTCCTCCCAGAAAGCACCAACAATCAGCAGAAAAAAAGGAAAGAATTGTGACAGCGACAATCCATTTTTAAGAAGTGAAAGCAGCATCTGTTCACTTTTGCATTTTGACTGTTTCGTCAGCGAAATAACAAATTCTCGTCCGTTATTTCCAATCATGTTTTGTTATGTTCTTTGGAACCGAACGTTATCTAACTATGGTATTGTTCAAGAACGGTCTCTTCAGGAACAAAGTTTAATAACAATTATTTCATTCCAGGCTCAATCAGCGACATTTTGTTACTAGCTAAAATGCGACAGGGACTTAAATTCCTAACCTTCTCGGCGATAGGCAGTCTCAGAAGTGACCGACAAAAGCGATAGCATTCCCCTGTCCCCCTCCCCCCCTTTGAGACCTCAATGTAACCATTAACAACTACCATAATCTTGGTTATTACTCAAAAGAGGATCTGTTAGTTCATCGATAGATGTATGAGTAATGTCATCCTTTCGAAAGCGTCGGCCAATCTTCTTGACAAAATAAATAATCAAACGGAATGTTTGCGACAAAATGGCTGAAGCAGCTAGCAAGGACAACAATGCAGGAACAAGTCCCATTGCAGCAAATTCGAACCACTGAAGTCCCTTTAGGAAAAGCTTGTTTCTTCCCTTGGCACTTATCCCGGAAGACAGGAGAGTTGCCTTTATCAGGCTGATTTTAGCGACGATTGCCAAGGTGACTAAGGACGTCGTTTCGGCTTTGTTAGCGGTGTTGCTCCGAAATGGGGCCTTGATTATGTGGTGGATGGCCATGAAGTCGCAAGCGCTAGCCATGAAGAAAAATCGGATCATAGCGTTAGGGATGAACGAGTGAAATGTAAGAAGGATGAGCCGTCGACCAATCATAACGCTCTCCCAGTAAAGAGTGCCTTTATCTCGATCATTAGGTGCGCGAAATGGCTCGTGTAGGACCTTCATTACTTCAGCGCTATTGTCCAGCCTTGCTGCAGCTTCTTCGCTATCATTTTCTTCCTTTCTTCTCTTGAAAACGCGCTTGAAAAGCCAATAGATTAGAAATGGTAAAGGAATAGCACAAGCTGCGAGAAATTCACCTGAAGAAATGTAAGAACTGTGCAGCTTTGAAGAACCGTAGTACAGGACTGCGATAAAGGGCACCACAAACACGATGATGTACCCAAGAAGGATGTATTGCCACGGCTGCCAACAGATCGTGGTACCATCAATGAACAGTCGATGCTCATAACCAGTTCTTACACAGTGCATCAGCCCCAGCGAAGTTTCAGCCAGTCTATCGTATCCTAGCAACAATATCTCCAAGGAGACCGCCATATAACGGCTCAACGATGGCTTTCTCACCTTCTTATGGAATCTGCTGATAAGCAAGTGGGCGCAGAAAATGAGGGCGAGGTTCGCCATTGTTGCGAACACCACCAAAGAAAGAAGCAGTTCTTTGGTGACTGGGGTCAATCCCGGAAATGGACACTCGATTCTTAGGTAAACAGAGCGGACTTGAAAATTGAACGCTGAAATCATAGCAACAACGAGAGGCATTTCATGAAGCAAGTCATCAAGAGAACTGCCTAGCAGTAAATCGGCGACTTGGTAGTAATAGAAGGCGATTTTTGTATAACCACTGTCTGACTCGTCGCAGTTTTCACTGTTTTCTCTCCTCCTTTCTCTTCTCTCCTTCTTTTTCATGAACCATAAAATCTGTTGTGGACTGAGAAGTCGAAGCAAAGGAGGATCAATTAGCAGATATAGAGCCAAGGCGGTCGAGTAAAGAAACATCGCTATCCAGAAGAGGTAATCTTTACATTGAGCTGTTATTCTGCACTCAGAATTAAATAGTGTTTCAGTGTAACCAGGTGCGCACTGGCCACACAGAAAACCACTCCTGTTTCCATGGCAACTGTTGTACACTAACGATTGCGGGCTCGGTGAGCGGCAATAACCCTTGGGGCAGGGAACAAAGTTGAGTACTTGCCCATCTCTTCCCGGCACATTGTATCCCCAGAAGTTTTCTACTGCCGCGATGCTTGATTCGTTTCCTATGCATGTAGCTCCCAAAGGACATGGATGACATTGGAATGAACCATCTACAGAAAGACCTTTTGAGAAACCAGTTTGTAGGCTGTAATATCCGGGAGAGCAAAGCTTACAGGAAAACGAAAGGACCGTCACGTTTTCTATGCAAAAGCGTTCATCTCTTTTTTCGGTGTATACAACGGTGTATACAAAATGCGTTGCATTTGCGAGAGACATCTGACTTCCTTCGCAGCGAATGCTAGTTTCGCTGTCGATATCAACGTATCCTCCGTTGTAAACTGCCAACACAGAAAACGAACGCCTTGTAGAGGTACTCGAAAACATAGACGAGTTCCGAAACTTGATGGGTCCTCCGCTTTCAGAATAAAAGAAGGCGACATTTTTGAACTTCCTGCCAGAGATAGTTGCATGGTACGTACTACTAACAAAAGAGCAGTTGACGAATTCTACTCGACCAGTTCCATAGGCGGAATAAACTTGACCTGTGTGCTTCGCTGCCAAATTGTTTTCAAAGGAGCAATTCCGAAAGGTAGTGTTTCCGTTACTAAGATACACTGCACCCCCATTGAGCCCAGCGTTCTCTTGAAATAACGTATCTTCAACAGTCACGTGACTGTGGTATTTCCATAAAGGGTGAATGTTGTTGGTTATGTTTCGTTGGACACACCCTTGTTTGTGGCTTTTGTCCGGGTTGGAGAGAATCGAAATAGCACCTGTTGCCGTCTCATAAGCAAACTTACTACCACCACAGTTCCACAGCTCTTGGCTAACAGACGTGCAATGGCGAAAAATCGACCGCCGTATGGTTACATACTTCTTGCCACGGAAGTAAAGGGCGAAATAGCTGGCAGGACGAGAATCAAAAATCACTTTGTCTATTTTTACTGTGGCTCTCGATATTTTGGTTTTGTTCCCCATTGCGGGCATATAGAATCGAATCGCGTGACCGTTTGACTGGCCGATGAAATTCGTGTTGTTCACTGTGAACGATACAGACCGAGCCTCTCTTACAGTTATAGACACATCGTAGACATTGCGTTTAAAAGTGCAGTTTTCAATTAGGATTTTGACAGGCTGCAAAGGAAAGTCTTTGCGACACAACCATTTATTGGATGTTTGTAATCCGTGTCTGCAATAGGCGATGGTCACGTTCTTGAGCAAAAAATCATATTTTGGGTTGATTATCAACGCTATATTTTGATTATTGTACATAGAAGTGTTGGCTACCAAGACCTTTCCTCTGTGTTTTTTCAGTGCTTCGATTATCACGAACGCACTTCCATTGTAATGACTGTCGGTGAAATTAGACTTCAAAATTGAAACATTTGTCTTAACAGTACCAGTACTTGCTACGAATATACCTCCAGAGACCTTTGAAACAGTGTTTTCCCAGTGAAAACGTTCAAATTCCACGAACCCACTCCTCATAACACAAACACTGCTGTTTGAACCGGCGCAGTTTTTGACGCGGACGTTTCTAAAATGCGCGTTCAGATCATAGTTTATCGGTTTAGCTATAAGACCGTGAGTTTTCCCCACTAGAAACGCAGAGCCCTGGGTTTCGGATTCGCATTCAGAAAAATTTACATTAGTAAGTTCAAACCTTAGATTTCCTTTTGCACCATTGAAAAAAATCGCACCGCCACCGGAATATGCCTTGTTTCGCTCAAAAGTAGTGTTTTTAACAACCAAGGAAGCACGGCCTTTGCATTCAATACTCAAGGCTCCGCCCTTTCCTTTCGTCACAGTTTGCCCGACAAATAAAGAATTCTCGATTTTCACCAGTTTAGCCTCACTGGAAGAAATTTTAATGCACCTTAATGCCAAATCATTACTGTTGTTACCGCAGAGAAAGTGATGAAATCTTGAATCAGTTTTTGTTACTTGGGATATGTACATGCTATCCATATAGCGCCTGGCACTGTTTGTTGAGTTAGAGGACCTCAAGTTATTGTTTAATAGTTTTACATGGCTGTATACTTCCTTTGTGTTAGCTGTCGGTACAGCTAGCAGCATGAAAGGAGCCTTGTTTTCGACGCTTGTGACGTTGTTTACTGAAATATCAGTTCGCACTGATGAACTGGACTTACTGTTGGTTCGTATGGAAATCACAGCTCTAGTTGACTGATTAGGTTGAAGGCCATTCTCTTGAAATATGGTGTTGTTCACACGAAGTGTTAGGAAAAATTTCCTTTTGTTTCTTATCCAGACTTCAATACATTGTTGGTTGTTCTGAAACAGAGATGGTCCCTGTATGTGTAAGTGGAGTGTGGGAATAGTTTGCGTCCGAATCCTGACGGCGGCTCCCTTCCCCGCGTTCTTGTAAGAGCAGTTTATAAGCTGAATTCTGTAGCAGTCATCAAATACAAGCGGTGCGTGCTCAAATGCAATCCCAGACAAGGTAATTTTTATTTTTTGTACTTTATCTTTATGAAAGTGAAATCCTTTTTCACACTTAACATGCGGGGTAGAATCGAGGCGTTCTATGGACACGCTTTTGTCAATAGAAATTCCCCAATATTGATCTGAATTCGTCAGTGTACTCTTGCAGTCAAAGGGCTNTTACATGGCTGTATACTTCCTTTGTGTTAGCTGTCGGTACAGCTAGCAGCATGAAAGGAGCCTTGTTTTCGACGCTTGTGACGTTGTTTACTGAAATATCAGCTCGCACTGATGAACTGGATTTAATGTTGGTTCGTATGGAAATCACAGCTCTAGTTGACTGATTAGGTTGAAGGCCATTCTCTTGAAATATGGTGTTGTTCACGCGAAGTGTTAGGAAAAATTTCCTTTTGTTTCTTATCCAGACTTCAATGCATCGTTGGTTGTTCTGAAACAGAGATGGTCCCTGTATGTGTAAGTGGAGTGTGGGAATAGTTTGCGTCCGAATCCTGACGGCGGCTCCCTTCCCCGCGTTCTTGTAAGAGCAGTTTATAAGCCGAATTCTGTAGCAGTCATCAAATACAAGCGGTGCGTGCTCAAATGCAATCCCAGACAAGGTAATTTTTATTTTTTGTACTTTATCTTTATGAAAGTGAAATCCTTTTTCACACTTAACATGCGGGGTAGAATTGAGGCGTTCTATGGACACGCTTTTGTCAATAGAAATTCCCCAATATTGATCTGAATTCGTCAGTGTACTCTTGCAGTCAAAGGGCTGGTCCTTCGTGCCAGAACCATCAAGATGAATTCGCCCGTTTTTTACAACCTGTTTAACCGCCTTTGCTATGGACCGGCACGGTTCACTCTGTGGGCCACAGTTGTCGATATCTTGACCATGAATGGAAACATAAACGTCTGTACGGCTTCCGTCTTCTGTACCTTGGTTTCATAAATGTAAAAGAATTAATATAATTGAGAAATCAATTTACAGGGCCACCCAACGACGATTTCCTCCTAAATACACTTTTTAGGCTATCCAGAGTACATGTAGATCTCTAGAAATGCATTCTAAGCGGCTCTATAAAATGTGTGTCTTTTCGGTCATCCTAGCGCAACCTGAGTTTTTTCAAAGTTACAAGGAGGGCTTGAGGATCATTTCTACGAAAAATTTGTATGCAATTTAACGTATTACGAGAGTGAGAATTTATCTTATTGCTCTCTCCATCGCATTTTTGAATCCGAAAATTTTAGGTTTCCTTTTTTATACGAAGAGTAGCTTAGCCTGAGGAGGAAATAAAAAATTACACTTCAGAATATGGTGGGAATTTATTAGATAGGCTTCGAAAATTGTACATCCTTGAAGGGAACGGTCATCTTGAAATTTTTAGCGGCCCTGAAGTAATAGACAATTCTAGGCAATATTTGCTTCTATGAACAGATATTTTACAGAAAACAGTCGTTGGGTGTTCCTGATTCTTGCGATTATAAACTCAAGGTGTGCAGTTGCAACATAACCCTGAAATACCGTAATGCTCAAATTAGCGCCTAGCACTCCTTTAAGTTTCTGAATCCAGCGTAAGGCGCTTATTCAAAGGGGGCGCTTAGTTAAAGGGAGAGATAGATAATTACGTAACAATATATGCGCGAGCAATTAGTGTAATTTCAAAACATTTAGAGCCGGCTTATATTTCAAAATAAATATCTTTTCTTTGTTTTTCTAATGTTCTCTGAGGATCGAGCAAGGTACTTTATAAAATGGTCAAATTAGAGCCGGGTGGCTCTGGGGGAGAGAATGATCATGAGTCCGAATATTGCAGATACCAATAAATGCGCATGGTCCCAGTATCAAAGATAACCTCGTCACCAGGAGTCCCTTTTGTGTAATCTCGTTCTCAGAGGCCGCGATCCTTTTGGTCAGCGACAGGGCAGCGTCGCTGCGAGGTTGCGTTTTCAGTCACTATTGCGTTTTCGTGTGGACAGCAAAAAAATGATTCCAAAAAAACATCGTAGCACTAAAACAGGGAATCCGGAAACGGAATCACGGAAACGGAAACGCAATACGGAAATATCAATGATAGAAAATTAAAGAATTTCACATTGCGTAATTTAGTACAATCCAAAGAGAATTTGTTTTAGTTTTCTTTGAATTTCTCTTTATATAATCTTGTTAATGTGTCTTGATAAGGTTTGCCAAAGTGTGATTTATTGCACTGCAAAGCCGATAAAAGTAATTTTACAACTAATTTTTATTCACGAGTTTATTGGTTGAATAATACGGTTAAACATTACCTTTAAGCTAAATGTCATGAGTTGCAGTAGTTGACGTCCGACCACAGTACATGATAGTCCCGAAACTGAATACTCAACACATGGCCGACCCGTGACGTGATCACAGTTCTGGTGTTTTAGCAAATAAGTTCAACTTTTTCGCCAAGCTGAATGCTGATGGAATACTGGTGTAACTGAGTTTGCGTTGACATCCGTGTTTTACGTTGAAGAGGCTTATTAAACATGACGCATTATTTCGATGTAATTAGCCTGCTCCAGGCATTCAGATCTTGGCGACAGTGCACTATCCTAACACATGAAGCAGGCTATGATGCAATCAGTCGCGGAATCAAGCAAATACATGCAGAATTCTCTCTTCTCTTTGGACTCCACGATGCCGTGGCTCTCTTGAGTAAGTTGTTTTGATAAATAAAACTGAACACTGTTGAAGACAACCCAGAAAACACACCCAGGAAAAACTTGACGACGACGCCTTTCTGTTCTATAAACGATGTCTCTGTCGATTAAAACGAAGTCTGTCTCCAAATAACTTACCTCTTTCTAAAGGAACTAATTATTCCCAGTGACGTCTTCTCATCAGCTATAGTTTTTCTGCCCGCTTTGCTGCTCATGAGAACCTGCATTCATTGCCGGAAGTGGTATGAAGAGTCTTTTCACCAGAATCGACTCCGCTAGTCATACGGCAGTCTCCTCTGCCCAGGTAATTTTTTCATTTATGTCTTTATTTTATCTGTTTATTTATTTTATTGTCATTGCTAATATATATTTTTTCGAATCGATCGCTTGGAACCTTCTTTCACAGATTCTGTATTCCGTTTCCGGATTCTATATTTCAGGGAACGCAGGTTTTTTTTGAAAACAGAACAAAAATCTTCCGCTTTCATACGTGTAGACGGGGCCTAACAAATGGTTGATGAATCAACTGTGTTAAATCAATAAATAAATTTTTTAAAATGGTGAATTTGGTTTCTCGTTGATGCCGAACAAATTGTGATCGATGTCATTGAGATCCAGCTGATCCACGACGTTCAAAAGCATCTGGTCAGCAGGATGTCAATAGCTTACGTTCGATATATTAAAAGTCTTACGTGACTCTGATAGAGGCTTTCTGGTCATTTTTCTATATTTGGATTGCGTTTGTTTTTGAGTCAAGTCCGGCCTCTCGGAAAAACCTGTTTCGAATTAAAAATTACCGCTGAATACAAACATTAACGGCACATTTATACAGGGTTAGCCTCGACGTAAAGTAAAATATTCATAAATTCCGTCAAGTAAGTGTTTGAAATTTGAANTTGTTTTTGAGTCAAGTCCGGCCTCTCGGAAAAACCTGTTTCGAATTAAAAATTACCGCTGAATACAAACATTAACGGCACATTTATACAGGGTTAGCCTCGACGTAAAGTAAAATATTCATAAATTCCGTCAAGTAAGTGTTTGAAATTTGAACAGAGCTGTTTCGAGAAAGGTTGCCGGAAAAGTGCACGCGACAATCCCGAAATGTATTGTGGGTGGTTTTGAGTTCACTGTTCTTCAAAGAAATTTGAAAAAATGGCACGAGAGGCCATCGACTCATGTTTGAAAGTGCTTAAGGAAAGCAACAAAACTAAGTTCGACAGCTACAGTGTCAGGAACAGTGTATTAATCATATCCAATATTACCTTTCGGGATTACCGCCCGCACATTTTTCTCCGAACTCGAAAGTGGACTATTGTGAGACAGTGGAGTTGTGAAAAAATTGCAGTTTTGTCCCTAAAGCCTCAGGGTCATGTTAGAATTTTGATATATCGAAAGTGGGCTATAATCATGTCATGGACTATCTTGAAAGGTCTTTTTTATCCAACCTACACTTGCCTCAAGTCGACTGCGTGAGCGCCGAAGGCGCGAGGGACGCTCGCGAAGCGAGCGAATGCGAGGGACAGCAGAACCGGAAACGGGCTTTGAGAAAGTCTATATCGAACCTAGCGTGCAGTCGTGGCCCATGCAGAAAAGATTCCTGACTTGTCTTTGCTCAACTAATGGCCTTTACATTTTTGATATTTTCACCAGCGCTCTTGTAATTTTCTAATAAGGCTGCAGGAGAAATTTGTCTAGAGAAACGAGAGTCGACCATGATTACAAGCTTGAATTACTGAAGAATGCAGGGAAAAAAATCATCTGCCATTTTTGGGTTTATTTCTTCCCCCTGAAATTTATATACTGAATTTAAAAAATATCCTGGCGTCTAATTTTTTTCTTTTCAAAAATCGAATTACTGAAACAGTTATATATTTTGGGCGAAACGAAATACGGTTTAAATTTGCTCTCTTTAAGTGAGGAATATCACGGAAAAACGAGTTTCTAAAAGTGATAACAGTAAAAATTAAAAAGAATTTCGTAGAAGTATAGAGCCCTTTGAGTTCATGTGTTCGTCGTTAATTTAATCTACAGAGAATCTATTAAATTTTTCAAAAAAATTAGAAAAACGGAAAGAAAGAGGCCTTCACCTGTACTGCCGCTTATGAAGAAAACGAAAATTAAAAAGAATTTCAATTCGTAGAAGGATATCAAGAGCACTTTGAGTTCACGATTCGTCGTTAATTTAATCTAAAGAGAATCTGTTTAAAAAATTGAAAAAAACAAATAAAATAGAAAAATGGAAAGAAAGAGGCCTTTACCTGTACTGCCGCTTATGGAGAAAACACAAATTAAAAAGAATTTCAATTCGTACAAGGATATTAAGAGCGCTTTGAGTTCATGAACTCGTCGTTAATTTAATCTACAGAGAATCCATTAAAGAAAAAATAGAAGGGTGTCTACCTGTACTGCCGCTTATGGAGAAAGCAAAGAGACAAAAAGTCCAGGCAAATTCACAAAGCATCATGATCATTAGGGCAAAAATCCAACAGAATAAAGTTTCCTTTCACCTCACTGGTACAGCAACCTTTCTGGCTGTTCCAAGGCTGGATTTAAAGGGTCGCAGCCTGGAAACTGAAACTTCCTCCAGATGACGTGAATTAGGAAATGAAAGGCTATTTCTCAGTTAGCGCAGGTGGCCTTCTAGTATTAGCATAAAAAAATTCCTTCGGTTAAATTTGAAACTGAAACTGCTTTTTTTTTGGCAAGTTTTCGTGCACGGTGACTGCATCCTCTGCTCGAGATACGTATCTAGTACATGGGAAGACAAGCTGGCCACGATGGTCATGGGTTTTGTTTAGTTCGAAGATGTCTTATACCGTGCAGTAACTTACAAAAGACAATACATGAAGACATTGGCTAGACTTACTAAACATTCAGTCTGTACCCTTGTGATTGCCATCTGTAAACCATGCATTGTTTTGCCCCGTGTGGTTTTCAGTACATTTTGAACCTATATTTGCTTGACGCCTTTGTACTCTTTTCGGTGATTGTTCAACAGAGTATTAAAAATCATAGACCTCTTTGTTTGACGCTGAGAACGATAATCACTGTAGGTTATAGTTGCACACGGAAAATCGTTTAGCTTTAGAAAAGGAGCTTAATTTCCTTTAGAGCATTCCATACTGCCCTCGGGAAGATACTTCCTTTCAAAGAATATTAGTAATCGCCCTCGACACGTTTTCAGTCTCCTCATTCTGAAACTGATGCTTTAAAATCTGACTTTATAATAACCAGCAGTGGTGGATCCAGACCTTC